TATATATAGTACTATATATATATTACTATACATATATATATATATATATATATATATATATATATATATATATATATATATATATATATATATATATATATATATATATATATATATATATATATATATATATATATATATATATATATATATATATGTGTGTGTGTCTGTATGAATGTATACATTCGTTCATATGATTACAGATAGAAATCTGAAGAATTTATATGTTTATCCTTTTATGGTTGTTTCGTAAAAATTGTGTACAAGCTTATACCGATGAATATGATTCAGTGTATCAGCTCTGTTCTATTTCCTTTCGTAGTATTCTCAAATCAAGACAGCTCTACGTCCCGACTTTATCCGTCTTCTTCTCAACAATCCCATGCCTAGTGCTCTATAGCCATTTTCAACTGATCCGAACCTCCGCTCATTGTCATTTGTTCGCAGGTTTACGATATTCCATCTCGAGTGTTTCCAGTCGTGAGACAGACGACGTGCTCATGCAAGATTTCGTAGAAACTATCACCGTCGATTTTCTTAGAGAGGGTTCCACACTCACGCCAGCCCATTCCAACTCCCCTTTCACATTCACAACATATGCCCCTCGAGCCTTCAGGTATGAGCTTTTGTTGTTGTTTAATAATTTGATAGGGTGTATTGTTCTTCTTGCCGTTTTGTCGTAGTCTATTTGTTTTATCACTGAGAGCGTAGCTGTAAGTCCCTGTTACTTTTATCAAGATTGTCTGTCCGTCACGCTCCTAATCCAATGAAAGGTTTAAGCCGAAAATATACCAATCAGAAACTTTCACATTTCAGAATTTGTAAATTATAAGATTATTGCATCCTTCATTATTGCAAAGCTTCTAGTATGTTCGCCGTGCCCACGGCAGGCTTATTAGGGTTCCCGCGCTGGAAGTTTGAGCGCATTGCTTTGTATACTAGACGTAGCTATGGCTAGGCATTCATTGGTCCAGTGTTTGCATCCGCTGAATCTGAAGATCTGCATGGCAATAGTCAAATACTGTCAAACTGTCTCTGCACCGTTCAAATTCTCGTCTTATTACCATTGCTACAAAATCACCACAACGGGTTTTTTATTTTGGTTCGGGGTCGTACAGGTATTTCCGTGACGTGTTCGGTATTCTTCCAGAGCACTTTCTGTTATCTTTGTGTTCGGATCCTCTGAAAGAGTTGTCCAACCCCGGGGCCAGTGGGAGTCTCTTCTATTTATCACAAGACGATAACTTCATCATCAAAACCGTGCAGAAGAAGGAGGCCGCTTTTCTCAGGGACCTACTCCCGGGGTACTTCTTAGTATGTAGATTTAGTGAGGTCGCTTCCTTTGTGTCATGTCAAATTATTACTTGACCGGTTCATGACCGGTCATAGCGTAAACCTATTACATAGTTCAGCGCAAAAAACCTAGTTGTGGTCAACGAAATGAATAGCTCACTCGTCTGTGAATCATGACCTTAAGTTAGAAATGTGTATATTTCTTTGATGATACGTGCTCAATACGTGCTCAGTTTCAATGGATTTATATATATTAAAATTTGATATGATATTGCAAGCAGTTGCAATAACACACAACCACTAGAAACCATTTAATTCTTTGCATTCGTTTGCGGGAACTATATAT